AAATGAAAGAGGACTGCACAAACTCGTCACTTTAAAAAAATGTTCTCTGTCTTCACTCCCAGATTGTTCTACACAAAGACACAGAAGGGTGCACACACACACACACAATAGGTACATCTGTCGCCTGTGGCTGTCCAGCTGACACCTGCTGCACTGAAAACCTGCTGTTAGCAACCAGCTGACGGTACGGAACACACAGACACACACACACACAAACACCGCAGTAATGTTTTCGGTGTAATTATGAGTATATGTCTTATTTACTTTGTTTGGCTGCAAAACAAGCTTCTGGATTTGTTCTCTCTTTTATATTTTCTCTTCTCTTTCCTTCCCTTAGTCAACCTCATTATTCTCTTCTCTAACAATCCTGTGCTTCTTCTGCATGAATATTGTGTAGATTTTCAATTCTGCAGTAATCCATTTTCCCCTTAAAAGTCCTTTTGGATTCTGTTCTGTCTTTTTTTGTAACATTTTTGCATTAAAGTTCTGATTTATTGTATCTTTTCATTTTTTTCCTGACGTATTTTTAGTAATTGGCTGTCGTGTACGACATATACATTTAAAAAGACATGTTGGAGTTACTCTATTCACATTTTTCAAAAAGTGTTTTTATCTCATGATTGTTGAAACCTTTGAAGTAAAGTAAATTTTAACGTGTGTCACCATATTTTTTTAATCTTCTTTCAACGGTAACTTAAAAAAAGTTGCCATGGAAACTTCTTTTGAAACAAGCTTCCTCATAGCAGAGTGTTTTCAGCAAAATTACAGGTGGAGGGAGTGCGAGACACACCTGAGGACCTGTTCTATATTTCTGTGGGTTTCTATGTTACCTTAAAAACATTTGCACAAAACACATGCAGACACTTTCCTAAATCATGATTACCTCAACATATGCAAGCACACACCTGCCCGTAAACATCAGCTACTAACTAGTGAGTATTAGCAACAACAACAGTAACAACAAAAGCTTTTTTTAGTGTAATATTAAACATGTTCTCATTAGTACTTAAACATAATAGAGCACTATAATTATCCCGTACACTTCTCTCAATTTCCATTTTATCAAAATAAAAACAAAACGACATATTTTCAGCAGTGAGTTTACCTTGGAAAGGGGAGAGGAGGACACAGGATGAAAGAAGAGGAGGAACTGCAGCAGGAGCACAGAGATGGTCAACATCTGAAGTGGACAGGAGTGGAACAATCATGATGCTGTCCAACAATAACAGAAGTAAAGCTGCACTGTAATGCATGATACCATCAGTAATGCTACTGTATAATAGCAGTGAAGACTGAGTCTGATCATACTTTGTTCAGAAATTGCTGCAATCAGCCTGTAAGAACCAACTTGCCTGTATCCAAATTTCACTTTATAGCGAGTCTGTTCAAAGCTAAACACCCAAACTTCCAAAATATCCTCATGTACCTGCATAGATGATGAGTTTATATCCAGCAGTGATCGGTGAAGACTCCTGCTTTGTTCTGCTTTGTTCTGCTTTGTTCTGCTTTGTTCTGATGACAGCATGGTATGAGGAGAGAGAGAGAGCAGAGGAGGAGGAGTGATGCAGGAACAGAAAGAAGACCAGCTGTCCAGAGTCACCCCCACCCTTCTACACCCCCAAGCCTCAGAAACACATAAAAACCCCACTTGTCTT